TGAAGGTCTGTAGGAGAATCTATACCATGTCTTCTCCTAGCTTCTTGCGACAGCCAGCTGGCATTCCTTGGTTTGCAGCCACAGCATAATTCCATCATCATGTGGCCGTCTTTCCTCTGTGTCTCTCCATCTCAGTCTCTTCTCCTCGTTTATAAGGATATCACTTATATTAAATTAGGACTCACCTTATTCCATTATGTTGTTGTTATTGTTGTTAAGTGCCGTCGAGTCGGTTCCGACCCATAGCGACCCTGTACAGGGTTTCCGAGGGTGTAAATCTTTACGGGAGTAGAAAGCCTCATCTTTCTCCCGCGGAGCGGCTGGTAGTTTCGAACCGCTGACCTTAAGGTTCGCAGCCCGATTCGTAACCACTACGCTACCAGAGCTCCTTTTATTCCATGATAACCCATGGTAACTAATGTTGTTGTTGTTAAAGCCTGTCAAGTCAATTCCAACGCATAGCAGCCCTATATAGGGTTTCCTAGGAGCAACTGGTGGGTTTCAATTGCTGACCTTGTGGTTAGCAGTTCAATGCTTATCCTACAGCGCCACCCCAAGACTCCCCCTGGTGTTAACTATTGTTGTTGTTAGTGCCATCGAGGTGGTTCTAACCCATAGCAACCCTGTATAGGGTTTCCGAGGAGCAGCTGGTGAGCTTGAACTACCGACCTAGCAGTTCAAACGGCTTTGTAGTCTGACGCATTAACCCACGGTACCACATCAGGACACCCCCTGGTGTTAACGAATGGCATCTATTATTTAGAAAAAGTCCCATTCACAGGTACCAGGGTTTAGGACTTCAACACATCTTTTGGGGGTACACAATTCAGTCCAAAATACTTTCCGAGTTGTTGCTGTTAGCTGCCATCATGTCAGTCCTGATTCCTGGCAACTCCACATGTTCACAGTAGAACTGTGCTCCATGTGGTATTCTTGGCTGTGATCTTTACAGAAGTAGTTTGCCAGGCCTCTTCTTCTTCGGAGCTGCTGGGTAGGTTTGAACCATCAAGCTTTGGGTCAGCACATAAACCACTTGTGCCATCCAAACTCACATTGCTACCCAAAATCCCAGACAACTTCCCAAAGTGGCCACTTCTCCCCTTCTCTCCAAGCCTTCAACACCCAGCCCAAAGTAGAGTGCCATACTCCTGAAGGCATGCCCCTCCTGACTGTCCAATTATACCCCCCAATCAATCTGTTTGCAAGCAGCAGCCAGAATAATCGTTTACCATTGTTTATCTGATCATGGCACTCCTCTGCTTCAGTCTCCATGGCTCCAAGCTCTGGCCTGATGACTGACTTCTTCTTGGCACTTTGCCCTGCCCTTTGCTCTCTTCTCTAGCCACCCTAGGGGTCTCTCCATACTTCTGAGGAGCCATGCTGCATTCACTTGTGTTGATTCCTTTTTCTAAACTTGTCTTCTTCCCAAACACCTGCCTAGTTTTGTTTCTGCTTGCCCAATTCTTTCCACCTCTCTCATCTATCTTTCCTTAAAAATGTCTCACACTTTTCTCCATTCCTCTCACCTAGCTTCCCCTGTTACACCCTTCTGCTGCCATGGTCCCTTAGCCTTCATGATACATGGCTCTCTTGGCATTACCAATTCTATGTCTGTCTTTCCAGTTGGCATGATAATATTGACTGAGCACTTAATATGGCCCAGGACTTGACCTATATATGCATCGCTTGTATAAACTCAGTAAATCCTCCCAACAACCCTAAGATTTTTACTGTAATTATCCCCGCTTTGCAGAAGAAAAGGAGACCTGATGGTGTATAGGATAAGCACTGGACTGCTAACCAAAATGTCAACAGTTCAAACCCACCAGCCACTCCATAAGAGAAAGATGAGGCTTTCTGCTCCCATAAAGATTTACAACCTTGGGAACCTTATACAGGGTGGCTATGAGTTGGAATTGATTCGATGACAGTAGGCAGGTTGCAGAAGAAAGGCCAAGCTATCGTCTTTCATAACAATGACAGCCAAACAGTGGAATCATACGCAACCTTGAAGAATAGGGAAGAATCACAACATAGATGAACCTGGAGGACATCATGCTGAGTAAAATTAGTCAATTACAAAAGGACAAATATTGCATGGCACCACTGTTGTAAAAAGAAAAGATTTTCTTGCTAAATGGATACAAGTTGGGTTGGGAGAGGGGGAGGGGGGAAGAAAGTGACTAGAGGTAAATGCTGTCAACTGATGGCACACGGAGTAGATTGCAATCATTGTAATGACATGAAGCGTTCAATTGAACTGAGACTGGTGATTTGTAAACCCTTTTTGCTCAATTCACAACAAAAAGTTAAAAGAAAAACCCTCTGGAGCAGTTCTACTGCAATACATGGGGTTGCCATGAGTCAGAATTGACTAAATAGCAAGCCCCACCCCCCTCCACCACACACACACACACACACACACACAC